GGGGCATATGTTAGGCATGTCACCAAATAGGTTGCCACGGCGAGCGGCGAGGCAGGTAGCGGATGGATGAAGGTCAAGAACGGTCAAACTACGATCGGGTATGAAAACCATAACCAGGACAGTGGGTCACATAGATCCCGTTTAGGCTCCCTGGATGGAGACCCCGAGATCATGAGAACCGATGATTAGAGACTCTGGGTAATAAGGCAGTGTCGTAAACAGTGACGCTTGTGCATCTGCTCAATTTCCTTGCAAACTTGATCAATGTATTCTTCGTTTTCATCTTGACGCTGCTTCCGACATTCCAGTCTACACGATCTGCTCCGAATGAGTGGAGCCAAAAGACACCGTCGCACAAAACTGCATAGGTAATAGTTGTACAAAGCGAAAGTAACCATGACAACAAACGATGAAAAATATCGTCTCTTACGTGGTCCAGTCAAATAACTCAATTTTTATTTGTCAAGCACGCTTGTTCGCATCCTAACTGCACACTGGATCTGTACATATAGTGCAAATAACGGGATCGGTATGTGCGTGGATAACTTTCAGCGTGCTGAGTCGTTTATTGCGTCACATGACTGAAAATCACCGCGAAACGCTGAGTTCAAAGTGGATCCCCGAGACGAGAACAAAAACCGGGTCAGAATCAATGATCTATTGCGATAAAAACCGAGACCTAGGTCACCGATACGGCTCCGTACTGATCGAATGCGTCTGCATGGAGGAAACTAGAAACTGTACACGAGAAGAAAATACACACCTGGACTACAGAATGACCGCCGCCAAGGGCCGCGGCAAATGTTGCTGTCCAATTCGCATATATGCATCCTCCCACATTGGTGATGCTGATCTAGATGGGACATGATCGGTTGCGATGGGAATGGAAAATTTACAAGCCGACCGGCTGCGAGACCGGAAGGAAAGAACCGCATTGAAGTTGGAGGTGTGCATTTCTCAAGGCGGTGATGATGATGACTGGGATTTTTCATCCGGGTCTCGCTTGCCCTGTTCGTACTGTAGTTCTTCGTCAATACGCTCTTTGGCTCGGAAAACCTGAAACCGGATAGACAGGGAGAGAGAAGTAATCCAGTCAATCCGAAATTGGACAGTGGAATAAATGATAAGGTTAAATGCAAGTTTACTTCCCAATCACACCATGGAATACAGAAAGCAAGACGGACTAGCGCCCCTGCCCCGATGGTGATAAAACTGTAATCAAAAGATTTATCCCAAATAAACAAAAGATCAGCACTGGAAAAAGATGATGTTTGATTAATTCCATGCTTGCACTCGCCAGATCTTTCTCATTCTACACAGAATTTAGTGATTGAAGACAACCCATTTTTATGGTTTGGAACAATTGCGAAATTCATAAAATATTTTTGAAGAAAATAATTATCAATTAGTCATCAGATTGAACACAAGCAAGTGATTTAATCAGTCAAATACAATTTTGATAGAACTCGGTAAGATAACCACCAGCCCCCGGTTCGCGATTTACGATCTACCAATTGTGCTTCTGTGATTGTGAAAAAAGAAGTTTCTCCTAATGAGTAGCACGTGGATGAGTGGACAAAATTTCCCCCCAAAGCAAACACGACCGGTTTCGCTGTGCTTGCCGTTGGCCAGGTATGCCTATCCGATAATCTTCTGTTTGGTCATTTATATACCACTCATTGTGGAAACAGTGAGTGTCGAAATTGATCCCAAGTGTTCAGTTGGTTGAGATTCGAAGCATCTAACTAATCCATAACATCTGATACAGAATCATCTCTATGATTCTTCTAAGCTTGTTCAACTCGAATCAACTGGCCGAACTGCTAATAAGATTCGGGGTTGCCTGAAAATTCTCCGTCAAAAGATGAAAAATAAGTCAAATTCATCATCATCGCTGTCAATCGGATAAGTCCCTAGCAATTAGGGCGGTGGTGGTGGCGCGGNGAGGTTCGAGCCCCGCCACTGCCACCCGACTTTGGTGGTAGGCAGCTCTGCTGTCGTCCGGTTCAATAACACGCCTAACCTATCGGAGCCTTATATGGTTCGCCACTCCAAGTTCCGGGGCTTAGATTGCCGATGTCAACCACTGAACAGCAGGTCCTCGTGATTATGGAGTTCCACCGCGTCTGCTGTTCATCACACTTAGGTGTGTAATGAAAAAAAATTAGATTATCAGCTCAATGAGCAAACGGAACTTGAAGCCCTTTGCTTCAAAAGCTCCTCACTGTGTCGTGCAGAATACCACCGTCAACGTGGTAGTAACAGGTCAACCTATAGATAACCAGATCTCGCCACGGTGTCACAGATGTCTCAATTTGGCAAATGCCAATCGAGTCTTCGATATGTGAGCGGACACTTATTCCGTGATGCATTCATCAGATGAGATATAGCAGCCTAAAATAGTCAAACTTATCCACTTGCTCTATCAATTCCCCAGTTCGGATGAGGTTGCAGACCGAGACCGAGGAGACAACAAATTTTAACTCTTTCTGTCTATCCTTAGTTTACAGTTTGAACAATTTGGCAGAATTTTGCCAAAAAGTAATTCAGGGACCAATTTATTTGTCATACAGATTATTGTACCACGATTTATTTGGCAAAACGGGTTGGACTCGGGAAAGTATAAAGAACAAAACATAAAGAAGAACCGAAATTAATTACGGTAGACAGATTTACTGTTACCCAGTTCAAATCCACACCTAACCTAGAGTAGGGTCTTATCTGGTTCACCACCAGAATTTTCGTGAGGTTTGTGCTACCGGTTTCCAACACTGAACAGCAGGTCCTCGTGACTATGGGGCTTTTCCCGTCTGTTGTTCAGCATGCTAAGGTATGTAATTAAAAAGTCAAATAACTTACCTTGGATTGCAGATATAAAGAGCCTCCTTTTTCTTTGGCATTCACAGAAAACAGATGTTCGTAGTGTTTTCGAAGTGTTTCCGTGTCGTGAATGTCTTTCACATTCAAGATTTGTTTAGCCTCGTCCAGAGAAAGCCCGGCAAATTGATCAAACGTTCTCTGACCGGAATCCGAGCCACCCTGATTTCTACGTGCCTGAGCAGCTTGCTGACTGGCTGTATATTCTTCTTTCAATGCCTGAGTGAATGCGCGACCCAAAACCCGGGCGCCGGAAATAATAAGCTGAGCCAAATATTTGGCCTGAAAAAAATGCGGAACGGGAATAAGGTGTGTGTGAGAGAATGGCAATATTTTAGAAAGCGTCAACCTGAATGGATTCATGTGACAATGAGACATTCAAATTCAGTTGCATCTAAGGCGTGAAATGAACAATGCTTTTCAAATCCAGTGGTGTTTTCTAAATTGGTCACAGTCGGAATGCGAGCGACAGTTACAAATTGGATCGCGAAGTGAAACATCTCGCTCACTGCCTATCTCTTTTACCACCAACCGAAGAACTCGGTGAACACTGGACGCTAATGAACGAAGATATGCAACAGTTAATCAAAACCACGGTAATTTCTGGGGCGTAAACCAGGCACAACAGATGGATCTGTTCGATCGCGGTTGCTTGGCTGGACGGCCGCAGAATTATTCCTCCAGATGCCCAATTTGACATCCGGCAAAAACCACCTAAACGCCAGCTCATCAAGAGCCTGAAGAAAGACCACAAGATGGCCGAGGTTGCCGCTACTGGTAACAATTTGACTGTTTTACTTCGAATAAGGAATAGGCACTCAAGGAAAGTAACAGCGATGTAATTAAAAAATTCGTTGGCGCATTGACTGGTACACAGCGACGTCGTCTTGGACAACGGGATGAACATTTCGAGTCTCAGTTAACTGAGGCTGACTTTCATTGACATTGGGTCTGTCAACTACCACCTCGACTGGGCGAATCCTGCCATTGTTTTACATAAAAAGTGATCTACAGCAAAAGGAGTGAACCCTCATAGGCGATGACATGCTAGATCCAAGTGAAAATACAGAGATGGGAAGAGAGTTCCGCAATTTCGCTGGAAGATCGGAGTTCGACATCTGCGGGCAGAAAAATGATAAGAGTGACTACTCACCTGAGAAAGACGAAAAAAGGAGAGGGGAACTGCTGA